CAAAGCCTTAACCCGTGAAGCCCGCAACCCCAAAATCATAAAACCCAACAAGCCAACAAAGTAGAATCCTAAGCACCTAAACCCACCCTAAACCCTAAACCCTAAACCCTGAACCCCTAAACCTTAAACCCCTAAACCCGAAACCCCTAAACCCCTTAACCCCGAAACCTTAAACCCCTAAACCCTAAACCCCTAAACCCTAAACCCTAAACCCCTAAACCCTAAACCCTAAACCCCGGACCCCGAAACCCCTAAACCCCTGAACCCTAAACCCTAAACCCCTAAACCCTAAACCCCGAAACCCCTAAACCTTAAACCCCGAAACCCCTAAACCCTAAACCCCTAAACCCCTAAACCCCTAAAGGCACGAAGATCATCAAAGAAAACCTAAAACCCCGAAACTAAACCCTAAACCCTTAATTACAGGCAAGAATATCATCCATCGAGACCTCAAGCCGGAGAACATCCTGCTGAGCGGGGCTCCCCGGGTCTCCCTTGGGATCTCACGGGGTTTAGGGATTCCAGGGCTTGGGGGCTCTTAGGGTGTGTTAGGGTGTTTAGGGTTTAGGGTTGTAGAGTTTATGGCTTTGGGTTTAGGGTTTAGTTCGATTTGGGAGTTAAGGCTTTGGGGTTGAGCGCTTAGGGTGTTAGGATTTAGGGTTTTAGGGTCTAGGGTTTAGATTTAGGGCTTCGGGGTTTGGAGGCTACGAGGTTTCGGGCTTATGGAGTTTTGCGGCCTGTGTTGATTGAGGCTTGTTGATGTCGAGTGTAGAACTTGAGGTCTGGGAGTTTTGTTGAGGCTTCAGTCTTGGGGGTCGAGAATCCTTGGGGTGTTTAGGGTTGCGGGTCGTTGGGGGTCTTTGGTTTCGGGGTGCAGGGTGTTTTGGGGAGTTTCCGCGCTCAGCGCCGAATCTCTTTGGCTAAATTCCTTTCTGGGTTCCTCTAAGGGGTTTAGGGTTCAGGGTCCCCTTAGGGGTTCCTTGTAGCGTTCCTGGTAGTGGTCGTCGTCATTGTCCTCGTGGTGGTGGTGGTAGTCGTAGTAGTAGTAGTAGTAGTAGTAGTAGTAGCAGTAGTAGTAGTAGTAGTAGTAGTAGTAGTACGCCCACAGTGGTCGGTGCGCCCGGACACTGCAGTTCTTCGGTCACTCCTGTTTT